AACTCAAAAACACGTAACCTGAAGCGTCTGTAACCCGAGGTACCACTGTACATGTGCTGTGTCATGTGATCAGTTATGTTGGTCGGGGTTTACCTAATCCAGTCCATTGCCAAGTTCATGATATTTGCTGCCTCACCTGCAGATGCTGTGTATTATCTTCTTTCTTCTTCTTTGGCGACCACCTGTAGCCCAGTAAGATTGTCTTCCATGAACACGGTCTTAACAGTGAGTCTGTAAGTGACTCTGGAGGCCAATTCTGGACCCACACGTCCTTCCACAGTGGGGACCTAGGTTTCCGGGCGGTAGTTGATCACAGTGAGGGTTTGCCAAGTGTGCCTTCCTCTTAGCACGTTTCTCCCTTTCGTCCTGAGTTTGATCGTCTTCAAATCCCATGACACCCTTGGTAAAGGCTGTTCTCCAACTGGAGTGCTCACAGGCCAGTGTTTCCCAGTTGTTGGTGTTTATACTACATTTTTAAAGATTTGCCTTGAGAGAGTCTTTGAACCTCTTTTGTTGACCACCAGCATTACGCTTTCCACTTTTAAGTTTGGAATAGAGTAGTTGCTTTGGAAGACGATCATCAGGCATCCACACAACATGACCAGTCCAACAAAGTTGATGTTGAAGAATCAGTGCTTCAACACCATATTGCTGTTGAATCATCATATTACTGTTGAATCAGCATATTGCTGACAACGCGCTCTAAAACTCTGGGCTCCAAACCCCATAAACATGCTCTTTGTTCTAACTTCAAGCTGCTGTTCTGCACCCCGCTTCCCCCAAAGAAAGGACAGACTAGCAGCTATGGTTGTCGTTGATTGAAAATTATGTTTTTTATAGGCAGTGCTTTTTTCCTGGGGGGACGCATACCCCTAAACATTTTGTGAATCTAAGTTTGGCCTCATTAAGGGGTAGTATTTCAATATGAGTAGGAAAGTGAGAGTACCCCTAAACATTTTTATTTTTTTAGAAAAAAGCTCTGATTACAATATTTGTGAAAATGCAATAAAATGCTTTTCTGAATTGCAGACACGGCTCCCCCCCCACCCCGCAGATTAAGAGGGGGGGTGAGACATGCGCTGCCTCACCGGCAGATGCTGTAAAGGAGCCGCAGAGCTGGGTGTTATCAGCATATTGCTGACAACGAAATTCTGAGCTGCAAAACCCATAAACATGCTCTGAACTATCGGTTCTAACTTTAAGCGGCTGTTCCGCTCCCGCTCCCCACAAAGAAATGATAACCAGAAGCTATGATTGTTGCTGATTGCATTTTAAATTATATCTATTATATGTGAACATCATGCAATAAAATGGACAATTTTTATTTTTCAAAATTTTTATTGATTTTTCAAAATTTTAAACAAACAAACAAACATAAATCATAACTGAAATTGATCCAATCTGAGTAACATTGTTAAATGACTTCCTCAAACCCCCTAGCTGAATTTCAGTGTATATCACTGTAACAGTTTTCCAAAACCAATTTTTCTCGTAATATTAACTTATTCACTTAACATCTTTCTTTCTTTAAACATATTATTCTCTAACATCACATATTTAAATCCTAAGCCTATCTGATATTTGCCAGTTTTTCCGATTAAGTTATCTTAACGTATTTAAGTGAATAGTCTTTAAATTTCATCCATTCTTCCTGGTACTCCTCCTCCTTCTGGTCTTAGACTCTTCCAGACAGGTCGGCTAGCTCTGAATAGTCCATCATCTTCATCTGCCATTCCTCTAAAATGGACAATTTTTAAAATATTTTTAAATTTATTTCCACTGTCTACATTACAACAATAACCCCTAGCCCTCCCTTCCCTTCATTTAGACACACCCTTTGAAGCAGGGCAGCCCTTTTTGCAAGGCAAGAAAGAAAGGCAGTCGCTTCATGCAAGAGATAAGTGTATCTTATTCAATTGCAAGTGGCTTTGTTGATCCAATCATAGTCCCTCTCGCACCTTTTTTTGCAAAAAGGGGGGCGGGGATGACTCCAGGGCTGCAGATCTTAGCCTCTCCCAATGCCTAAGGGAGTCCCAGCCTGATGGGATCAAAATCTGCAAACTTTGTCTCCGGCATAGGAGCCAAGTCCTATAAAATATAAAGCATTTGAGGCGGCCAGCCCCAAAGTTGGTGGACGGTGCCCTTCAAATGGCGTGCGTGTGCTGTTTCATGCGATCGATTATGTGGGCCGGGGTTTACCTAATCCAGTCCATTTCTAAGTCCAGGACACGCGCTGCCTCACAGGAAGAGCTGGGTGTCATCAGCATATTGCTGACAACGAAATTCTGGGCTCCAAAGCCCATAAACATGCTCTGAACTATCGGTTCTAACTTTAAGCTGCTGTTCCGCTCCCGCTCCCCACAAAGCAATGATAACCAGAAGCTATGGTTGTTGCTGATTGCATTTTAAATCATGCAATAAAACATCATGCAATAAAATGCTTTTCTGAAATGCAGACACGCACTTGAAAGCAGAATGCAGAATAAGAGCAGGGATGCGACCTTCCCTGAATTGATTGGCTCCCTGATTACGGTTACCTCAATTCTCCATATATAGGGATAAGAATTGCAGATCTGCACTTTGGAGCCCCTCAAGAGCTGATTGGCTGCCAAGTGAAGCGACGTTGGCCCGCCCCCGCTTCTCCATTCATAACCATTATATCCATTCATCCACAGAGTTGCAGTCTCTGACTGGCTACATTTCTCGCGGCGGCGATTTTGATTTCGTTGCCTGCTGCTTCGGCTCCTCCTCTTGCTGCTCACCAGAGCTGCTCCGGATCAGGCAAAAAGGGGTCCCCTTGCTCCTCTCTCCGCCGGATTAGGAGCGCTACGAATTCCTGCTTTGGCCGGACGTGGAGACGGAAGGATTTTCCGGCTCGGATCCGCTTTGCTCACCGATCTCGTCTCTCAAGATCTCTAAGGTGAGAGAGATTCATTGCTCAATAGGCGCGCCTCACCCGGCAGGACTCTTTTCCCTAGTATGGCGCGCGGAAGATACGTGTACACGGTCGTGTGAATGGCTTTTATTTTGTGATACCCCCTCTCTTTCCTTTGCTCCCTATCTCTGCTCTGTCCGGACTCGGAAAAATGAAGGTAAATTTATTCTCGGACCCCATTTGCAGACCCCGATCAAGGAACTGAGCGTGATTTTTTAAAAAATAATAATTGTTATTTCCAAAGCAAAACAAAAAAGGAAAAGGAGAAAAGAAAAAGAAAAATTACAACCATCAAATTCAGCATCCATATTCGTTTCCTAACATAATGGAGTTAAGCGAGATTTATGCCTCAACAGGTTCGCGCGTAACGCTGCGGGCTCCTTGCGTGGGGATGTCGTCACGTGTACACGACACGTGTGCGTGCGTTTTTATTAACGATGGGAAGATGAATGACGGTGGTTCTTCCCCCCTGGCCTCGGTGGTTTTGTCCTTCCTGGACATCCCTGGCGATTCTTTAAAAGAATCGGGACTGCAGGTCTCTTTCCGCGAGCTGAGTGAGCTATAGAAAACCTGTATATGAAACGAAGGGTTCAGATTTCTTAGAAATTGTTGTTAAATTAGGAAGAAAAACGAGGCGGGGTGGGGGGAAAGGCAGATGAATTTCTCAAGATTCCGTAACTTCAATGTGCGTGTCCGTCTTCTCTCATCTGCTTTGCGTGCAGAAGGTCCCGGGTTCAAATCCTGCCACCTCCAGGTGCGGGTTTTTGGGGCGCGCGGGTGGGGGAGTTTAGCTCCCAAAAATTCCAGCGCCATCCACGCTCTTTTTAGCACTTCCCACGACTGGTCGCGACCTGCTCTTCTTTGTGTTGCTGGATGAACGTTTTAGGACTTTCCTATCGCACGCGGTTTTGCTTTGTGTTTACAACTGGATTTTTTATTTATTTATTTTTTTTATATATAAATTTTTATTGGATTTTCGCAGTGTTTACACCTGGATTTTAGCCGATTTAACCTCTCCATCTTTTACTTTGCTAATTCGATAGGAGCCACGTTTTTGTACACAGCAGCTAAGAAACGCGGCAAATAATACGGCGTCCTCTTTGTAATCTACATCATGGGAACCATCCTCATGATTTTTAAAAATGAAGTTAAAAGTGCCTCCCTCACATCCAGCCCCCGGTTTACCTCCTCTCCTATGTCCTTTAAACATAAATCTTTATTGTCAACTGCCTAGAGATTTTATTATAAAAAGTGGTGTGTGTGTGTTAAATAAAATAAAATACAAAGGAAGCTGTTTCGGGACCAGGGTTTTCCCACACGGCGAAAAACTTCAATGGCAAGCTTAACTGATGGGGCCACCATTAAACATCCATGTTGATTTTCGATTGTATTTTTATTGCTGTATTTCTTACCTTTTTATTGCATTAAATTTTGAATTACTGGGAATGCAAATGGCAAACGTATTAAAATAGCACACAAATATATATATATATATGAAGGAACAGAATGCAATTCAAAACCATTGAACACAGTGCATTGGAACTGCTAAAAAAGGCAAGAAAATCATACAATCGTAGAATATCAGAGTTTGAAGGGGCCCCAAGGGTCATCTAGTCCAACCCCCTACAATGCAGGAATCAAACCAAAGCAAATCATTAAGTGGTCTGCCAAGACCACCGGCAATTTTGCAGCTGTCCATGGGGGAAACATTGGGCAATTGCAGTTCAGGTTGCAGACATGGGCCCTCCCAATCCTTCCTGGAGATTTTAGGAATTGAGCTAGGACCTTTGGTCTACAAAGCAGATGCTCTACCCATTGAGCAACAGAGCCCATGGCTGTTCTGGTGAGGAGGAATCTGGTCCCCATTTGTGGTTCTTGTGATAAGATTTGCCTTTCCCAAATACTTGAGGGAGGGTGATCATCTTTCTAGCCAGGGTGTAGGAGAGGCATTTCTTTGATCCCACATATAAAATGTAATAAAACGTCAAACATTAAAAGCTTCCCAATACAGGGCTGCCTTCTGATGTCTTCTAAAAGTTGTGTACAGTATTTCTTTCATCTCCTTGGCATCTGATGGGAGGGCCTTGCACAGGGCTGGTCCCACTGCTGAGAAGGTCCATGCGGATGGGGCAGGGCTTACATTTCCCATTTCAGATTAAAGTTCACAGGGATCCTAACTGCTCCATCTCTCTTCCAGGTGGGGCTGCTTCTGGAGAAGGAGAGTGGTCCCTCACAACAGGAGTGGAGCCATGGCTGAGGAGAGGTACAGGAAGAGGATCCGGAGTGAAGTCACCTGCTCCATCTGCCTCAGTTACTTTACTCGTCCAGTGGAACTGGGCTGCAGGCACAACTTCTGCGAAACCTGCATCTTGAGGTGCTGGGAGGAGTCTGGTAAGAAAACCAGGTGCCCCGAGTGCAGAAAGGCTGTCAAAGCAGACTACATGCGAAACAGGCTTCTCACAAATATGGTCGGAATCATCAGTGAGTGGGATCATTCTGAGGAGAGAGAGGCTCAAAGGAGGCGCTCAGAATGTCAGAGGCACCAGAAGACCCTGGACCTCTTTTGCCGGGACGACGAAGCCCCCTTCTGTGGGGAGTGTGACACATCCCAAGGGCACAGCGGCCACAGGGTGGTTCCTGTGGAAGAAGCCGTCCAAGGCTACAAGGTAAGAATGAACCATTCATAGGAACGGCTAGTATATATGATGGGAATTAAAATCATAGAATTGTAGACTTGGAAAAGATCCTGACGATCTAGTCCAACCCCCTGCAATCCAGGAAGATGCAGTTGTCCCATAAGGGGATCGGACCTGCAACCTTCATGTTATAAGCACCATGCTCTAACCAAACTGAGCCATTCAGCAATCAAGGTTAAAGGCTGTCCATAAACCACTGTCTCCTCTGAGTGAGTGTTTATCCCTCTAATCCTAGGTGTGTGAGAGGCAGTCTGCTGTCAACTGACTCTGCTCATGCTCAGGAGGCCTCTCATCTAACTATTTTACACATCGTAAGCTAGATATTGGCTTTTATGGGACTGAGGTTTGCTTTGCCGTATAAGACTCCACTGGATGTGTATATTAGGCATTATTGTGTAAAAAAATAATAATTAAGCTGATCTAGAAAGATTGAACGATGTTAAGGTGGTCTTTCTAGGAAAAATTAATGCAGCCAAATGAGTACAAACTGAATTTCCCCTTTCAAAATCTGATAAAACTAATAGCAGAGCAAGCATTGAAAAAATGGAAAGAATTAATACCAGTACAGTACATAAATTCTTTGGGATGGAAAGAAATGTACAATTGCTTTTAAAAAGGCAAGCAAATAATAAAACCTAGAAGGCTGGTGTTTTGGGCTTCTCGGAGATGCTTGCTGTTATAAAGGGAAAAAATACTTTGATGGCTCAGATCAAGAGGTGAAGATTTCCCCCCTTGGTGGTATTTCAGTGTTAATCATTCTATTTACATATACACAAGTACTGCCCAACAACAACAAACATCAGAGGCATAAAGCCACCCTCCTTTCTCCTGTTGCCAGCCCTAAACAATGCAAAGAACTCAAGAGTCATGAGTTTAAACCAATTGTGTTAATGTAGGTCTGCCACTGGTGTTTGGTCTTAGGCTTGTAGTGCAAGCAGTGTATTCCAACAGCTTTAACCAACCCCTACCGGCCCCAATGCTGCAACATCAACTAACCCCCACAACTGCATCCCCTAAAAAAATATAACCCGCAGGGACTAAGACTTCGTAGCAATCCTAGACTGCAGGGTTGGCATAAACTCTTCCGCTCCCTGCCTGTTAGAATATCAACAATGCTTTCCAGGACAAACATGACTTAACACTTTCTCAGCCACAATACCCACCCTGCAGTATGGTAGCTTTTACTTGCATTAGTGGGCAATTTGTTTGAATGATAATTTAAAAAGAAGGAAATCCAACCTGTGATAGAAAGAGGATGACATTTTCTGCAGAAGGGGCTTTCTGGGTCTTTTCCCAACATTTCTCCATAACACTCATCAGTTGCATTTGTCGTAGGCTCAATACTCTGGATGGCAGAAGCAGGCTCTGCAGTCTCAGAACCCGGGGAACAATAACATAATTCAACTGTCCTCTCGCTTTCCTCTTTCTCTCTCTGTCTCGATGACGATTATGATGGTTATCTCCTAGAAACCTCTCATCAGGACCTGTCAGGGAAGAGGAGAAGGGAAAGCTCTCTAATGATGCTGGAGAAGGGCCCAGCAGGGAGAGAGGCAGCTCCGCAGATGGGGAAGCAATTCAGTGCAACACCAGGAATAAGGAGGGGCAAATGGGGGAAGCGGCAAGAGGGCTCCCAGACTCTTCACCAGACACCAGCGGGGAGAGCACTGGTCCTCCGCTACCCACGCCCTCCCTGCGCAGAAGACTTCCGCGCAGAGAGAGTAGGAGGAGACTGGGTGTCAAACAACTTTTATGTTGGAAAAGGTTTAAGAAACGCCCACTGACGGATTCTGCTAGCGACTGAGGCAGCCACGAAGTGAAGGGCTGTCCAGACAGAAAGGTTTAACAAGGCAACATAGCCAGGAGAGGCGGCAACTTACGCACGAGCAACCCCATACCATTATAGGACCCAAATGGGAACTTTGGTTTTTCTTTTCAGGATCAGTTCTGCGGGTTCCTGAAGACTCTGAAGGAGGAGGAGGAACAAATTCAGGCAAAAAAAACATCGACAGGAAAGCAAAGTTCATTCTTGGTTGTAAGTGTCACTCTTACTGGGAAGTAAGCAAATAAGAAAAAGAATTAATGCTTGGGAGAGAATTAAAATAACATACTGAAGCCATCAGGCAGGTCTACTCTTTCAGATGCCTATTTCTTTGGGGAAGCCTGTTCTGACTGGAAGGAAAATTTTCCCTTGCTTGAAAACTGACGCATCATCTGTGAAAATCTAAAAATTCAGAAGCACCCTCCCTGTTCCTATGCAGTAATCCTCAAACCCTCTTCATCCTGCACAAGGAGTGGCAATGTTGCTAACAGCCTGTTTTTCTTTCCACATGTTTCTTGCAGAAAAAAATAATATCAGGTAGGCAGAAGATGAAGGGTGAGTTTAAGCAACTACATTCATTTCTGGAAGAATGGGAAAACCAGCTGCTGAAGGAGATGGAAGAGGTGGAGGATGAGATTGCGAGGAAATCGAATGAGCAGTTGGGCTGGCTCTCCAGAGAACTTGACTCTCTTCAAAATATCATCCAGGAGCTGGAGGAGAAGCTTCAGCAGCCCCCCAGTGAATTCCTGCAGGTAGGAGAGTGGCATAAGCAGCCCAAGCTTTTCTCCAGGTCAAGGCCACGACCAGACCAGTCTCTGCCTCTATCATTATTCACAAATGACGTTGCTTGGTTTTGTGGAGCTGGTAGCTGGTTCTCTTACGTTAGGTGCAGGAGCATTTAAGAGGACAAGCAGAGCATGTGCACCTTAATTTGTTACTTAACAATGATGGAATCAGATGTGTTCTGCTCTTGGCTGATGATGGGTCTGCTGCTGGCTCCCAAATTAGTGATGTTGCCTTACTGGCCTGCTTGTGGACTGGGTGGATATGAACAGAGCCCTATTTTGTGCCTTTTAAGGTGTGGGACAGTTTGTCATTTCAGGGCTTCTTTTAAGAAGTTTTCCCTTCTGTGGTTATATTACCTGAGTTGGGGTGAAAATAGGTGGACCCTTGGTCTGATCCTTTACTGGTCCTCTTTGGTTCCTGCTCAGGGCTTCATTTAAGAGGCTGTGCTCTGATTTTATGACATTACCCTGCTTGGACTGGGGCATGGGGCGTGGGCTTCGATGGATGGCCAGTCGTGGAGGCTGAGTTCTCTTCTTTTTCTCTTTCCCCTGCAGGATATTAGAAGCACTTTGCAGAGGTAAGCAGATCCCTCTTCTTTTCCTTTGCGCTTTGCGGTTCTATGAAGGATATGGACTGCAGGAAAAACACCCGTTGTTCCCAAAGGGACAGTATGGGTCTTTCTGACCTCCAACTTTTAACAAATCAATAGGGGCCCACTTTTTCTAAAGTTCCTATTTTCATTTCCAAACTTCCTTTTCTCAGTTTTTATCTCTCGTTTAATTCTGATTCTCTTTCCTTTCTTTCTGTTTCCACCTGGTAGTCTCAACCGTCTTCCAAAAGAGGGATGTATCTAAGAAAGCAACAAACCATTGTTCACACTTTTATTCCCTGCACTGCTTATTTCAATATACGTGTGATGGGATGATGAGCTGCTTGTGTGTAAAATCGTAGTCCCTCAGAGTTTGTTCAAGTCCACAAACCTCTGTCTGTGACGGAGCCCCTCAGACATGGCTCCTCTAGTCACTCGCAGATTCCGACAGTGGCTGCTTTCGGAATCACTTCCAACATAAAAGCTCGTCTTCTGGACTCACGGTGTGACAGTTTCCGGCGAGGAGTGGGTCTCCCTATGGGAGGTCCAGAAACCTCCCCACTGTTCTCGCTGGACGTGTCCCTGAGCCCTCCCTCTTGCTCGCTTTCCCTCAGAGACCCACCTCTCCCCCTGCTGGTTCCTGCTTCCGTTGCTGGGTCTCTCCCAACCTCCGTGAGCCCTTCCACCACCTGTCCCTCCGATGGCAGTTCCCTGACAATACGTTTCAGCTGTCCTCTTATTATTCACCTTGAATCTGACCAGCCAGTTTCTTGAGACCTTTGTGATCCTCTCCCCTCTCCTCCTATTGGTTCCTTTGGGAATTTGAGGTTGGATGGAGAGCCAGCTGGCATACTTAAACCTTTTATTTCTCCACAGGCATGAGGGGAGACAGGCATTTGAGGCTCCCAAGATTTTTCCTCTTGAATTGGTGTGGAAAGTTTGGGACTTCCATGATATAAATCCATTTCTGGAAGCTGTCGTAAAGCAGTTCAAAGGTAATGGCTGCAGGAATTTCATGCTAGATATTGAATAGGAGAGCCAGAAAAATTGAACTTGAGGGTCAGTAGGGAAGGAATTTAAATTTCACTGAGGGGGAAAGGAGGTCCTGCAACCACAGCTCAAAATGCCATTTGCTGTTACTGCCTCTCTCAGCCTGGTGCCTTCTGTTTCCTTTGGACTCCAACTCCCATCAGCCCAGCTGATAATCGAAGTCCAACAACATTGTGAAGGCCACAACGTCCTCCTCTCTGGTCTACAACATCTAAGCATGAAGGCAACATGTTTATTTCGTTGATATCTAACCCTTGAGCGTAACATCACCGATACTTCGTTTGTTCAAACTTACCTTTGTTGATATCTACAGGAGCCTGGCTAAAGGAACTTTAAAGACTGTGTCTTCCTTTTGGACACAATTTGAATGAGTTTTCTGTTTGTGGCTTTTGTAGTAGATCTTGTACCTTGTTCTCTCAATTTTTGGATTATTAATATAAGATTTAGAATGTAGAATGCTTTGGTAGTGTTTTGTGTGCCGCTTATGTGCTGCTTACTTCATACTGGTCTACAGCGATAATCAGAGTCCAACAACATTGTGAAGGCCACAACTTCCTCCTTTCTGGTCTACATCATCTAAGCAGGAGGCCAACATGTTTATTTCTTCAGCAAGTGTCTCACCCACATGCAGATTTAGAAGCTTTGTATGACTTAAGGCCCAACGGGGGGGGGGAGTGCAAGAATATAGTGAGTAATATAATGATCAGTTTGGTGGTTTCTATTTTTTGTAAATAATTTTTATTCATTTTCCAATAAAGAGGGGGGGATCCATATTAATAACAAATCAAGCCACATCTTACCACGTTCAAAAACAAAAAAAGTACAGCCAATTATAGAGTCTGAATTACTTAATTTCAATTGTCCATGTTCGAGATTTCAAGACCTAAATGATCAGTTTGCTGGTTTCAGTGACACTATGTCATAACACAAGTTTAGCCAGGCCTTCATCTCCAACGCTTTAAGGCAATAACCTTAAGAGGCAGATTTTCAAAAGCAGATAGTAGTTATCTTCAGTTTACAAGAAAGGGGATTATGACTATAATCAGCTGACTCTTTTTGTGTGCTATAACATTCATTAACAGCAGGGCGGTGTGATGCTTAATCTCTCTTGCTTTCCGTTTCACAGGCACTCTAACATCCGGACTCTCTCTGAAGAAAGGTAAGCTGAGGAGTCTCAATCATAGTTATCCATCAGGGTGAGCTGTTGGGGCCCATGTGTCAATAGCTGGTGGGGCCACAGTGGACAGAACCAGTGTCCAAAGTCAATCCTTTTCTGAGATCCCAGCCTTTTTATTGCTCCCCTTCTTCATCCTTGGTCAGTTGGCTATTGGGAGAGAGAAGGGTGGCTTCAAAGAGCTTTTGAAATTGGACAGAGGGCCAAAGCTGGGCCACCCTAGCAGCAAAGCCACGGGGGGGGGGCACAGTCCAGTCAGGAAAGGAACCCCCTTCCTCAGTGATCCCTGGAGTGGATCTAAGCTCACAATGTTTATGCTCCCAGCTGATTCCTCTTTTCTTTTCTCTTCCTTTGTCGCCTTGCGATGCCAATAGCAAGTGTAACTCTGGACCCAGACACCGCTCATCCCAACCTGATCCTGTCCGAGGATCGCCGAAGTGCGAGGTGGGGAGAGGCACATCAAGAGCTGCCGGACAATCCTGAGAGATTCAGCGGACGTCCCTTCGTGCTGGGGTGTGAGGAGTTTACAGCAGGGAGGCACTGCTGGGAGGTCACCATAGGAACTGACGACATCTGGGCTGTGGGGGTCGCCCGGAAGTCTGTGAGGAGAAAGGGCTTGGACAGCTTTTACCCTGGTGTAGGCATCTGGGGACTGGGGCAGATATATGGCAAGGGCAGGTCTGCCCGCCGCTCTCTGCCGCCTCCTGCGCCAAAGCTGAGGAGGTTCCGGGCAACTGTTAACTATGCAGGGCGCCAAATTCTCTTTTTTGATGCTGATACAGGAGAATTACTCAAGACCTTTGCAAACGCTGAATTCTCTGGGGAGTCCCTTCTGCCCATCTTTTGCATGGGGCCAGAAACTTGCTTTGAACTGCCTCCGGTGACACACTAGTCTGGCCACTCCTCCAGAAAAGGAAGATAAATGTGTGGAAAAGTAACTCGCAGATCGTTTCTTGATTTTTTAAAAAAATCAAAGGATTGTGTGCGCTTCTGTGTGTAGCTGGCATTAAAGAGATGACAAGTGCTAGAATGTGTCAGATTTTTTATTTTTCCATTGTATATCTGCTTGGCTTGGCTTGCCTCGCCTCATGATCTAGGTGCTTGAGGCTAAATCAGACATCCCCCAAGACTTCTGGCCCAGGGGCACCTTTGCAATCCAGGAGACCGTGGCAGGGAGCACAAATTACCAATTTCACAAAACAGAAATATGCAGCTTAGATATATAAGCGAATCGCCAAATGTGACCTATGTTACAGTCACCACAATGGAATGTATGGGCGCCATTTTGCGAGAGGCAATGACATTTATTATCGTTCCTATTCATTTTGTTTCTGTACCGCTTTATATTTTAAAGAAAAAATCTCAAGGAGGTTTACAGCGCATTAAAACATTGATAAGGAGGTATGCAAAAGAGATTATTTAAGAAAGCTAGAGTGGCCAGAGAGGAATGGCAAATCAAGCTATTATAATATGCCGAAATGGGAAAACTGACTGGAAAGCTCAAGAATCAAGGCAATAATTTCAAGAAAGAATGGGGGGAATTTGTAATTTATTTAGGGGGCCACTGTAAGCAGATGAAAACATTAGCAGGATTTTAATAACACCTGTAATGTAACTAATATGATGGATATTACGGACAGATAGAAAATATGGATTATGTAATTATATGTAGTTGAAAATGTAGACAATAGGGTCCATGGAGGGGAAGGTGGGAAGTCGAGGGATTCAGAGAAATCTCTCTATTTGGTAATGTGATAATCTTTTCTCTTCCTTAGTTTTTATTTGATTTTACAAGTTTTAAAAAAAATTAAAAAGAAGAAAGCTACCTAGAGAGGCCTTCCAGAAATCACGTGGTCGCAATTGGACCTGCGCCAGTTGCAAAAGCTGCCTGGGGGATTTCTAACACTGCAAACGGGATGATCACACAAACCCCCAGCAAGAGGGGAAATGCCTAGAACATTCTTATTTTTAAAGAGACAAAAAAAACCCTGGCCACCCCCTCTCAAAATACAGGAAGCTCCCCCCTCCAATCCCATTCATTAAAATAGAATAAAGTAATAATAATAATAATAATTTTTATTTATACCCCGCCCTCCCCAGCCATGGCCGGGCTCAGGGCGGCGAACAAGCAATAATAAAAAGAAGTTGAATAAATACAACTTAAAAACAAGATTAAAATACAACATTAAAATATTGAAACATTAAAATATTAAAATGCAGCCTCATTTTAGGGGTGTTGTACCCAGGGGTGCGTCACTGGGGACTGCAGCACCAAACGACAACCCATAAATCTTCTTTTTAAAAAAGAGACAAAGCAAACCTTGGCAACCCCCCTCTTGGGGGCGCGTAGTATTGTGTATCCATTTATTTCTGCAACAATATGAGAGATTTTACTGGATCTTCAAACAGCGTATGGGGGTGTATAATCTGTTGTAGGAAAAGGTGCTCCAGACCCCAAACCCAGCCAGATGGGTGGTGTGTGAATAAAATTATTATTGTTATTATTATTAATTTAATATTTAGCTGCCCTCCCCCAAAAAATGTTTCTAGGCATGAGCGTATTCAGGTTTTTTGTTAGGGTGGCAGGTCTTTGGGGGGGGGGCAGAAGCTCAATTTGCTATGTATATTTAGCCTGCCCCCCTTGGCTACACCCATGCTTCATTTCCGAGTCCTAGTGATACTGACAAACAGGTGCTTTCAATTTCTTTTTCTGTTTTATAGACCAGAAGTGTTTTCCTCTCCTTCAAAATCTCCAAACGGCTGCTGATCTGTCCATCAAAACAGTCAGGTAGAGCAGGAGGTCTGTGGAACTGTTGGCCCTTATTTATTAATTAGGTTTACATACCACCCTTTAACAAAAGATCTCAAGGGACTCCCTTCAGGGGCCATTAAACCAAACTCCCATTGCCAATGCTTGCTGGGAATTATGGGAATTGTAGTTCTATTCGTTCATTCATTCATTTCCCCACCCTTTTTCTCCAACAAAAACCCTGTGACGTAGATTAGGCTGAGAGGCAGTGAGTGGCCCAAGGTCACCCAGTGAGCTTCAAGGCTCAGTGCGAATTTGAACCCTGGTCTCCTACTTCAATACAGTGGTACCTTGGGTTACATACGCTTCAGGTTACAGACTCCGCTTACCCAAAAATAGTACCTAAGGTTAAGAACTTTTCTTCAGGATAAGAACAGAAATCGTGCTCCAGTGGCGTCGTGGCAGCGGGAGGCCCCATTAGCTAAAGTGGTGCTTCAGGTTCAGAACAGTTTCAGGTTAAGAACGGACCTCCAGAACGAATTAAGTACTTAACCCGAGGTACCACTGTACTCTAACCACTGTGGCAGGAACCCCCCACCCCAATCATTCAGTTTGTACAAACTTCACACACACTCACACTCACACACTACATACACCAAGCTTCTGTTATAAATTCATTAAAAATCAACCATACATCTGATTTACACTGTTCCACTTTTATTTGACTCCACGAAGGAAGGACTACAAAATGGGGAAGGTTTAATACAGGCCAGCCATAATCCCTTCACCATCCCAGCACATCCACAGGAGCCCTGCCCAGTTGCTATGCCAACCCTGATGGTCCTAGACAGAAGACCATCAAGATCACAAAGAACTTGCATATGGGAGTGGATTCAGCATGGACTGGAACAAAGGACAATGATCAGATCTTCCCTCTGGGGGCAGGAAACTGCAAACTCCCCTCTGTCACCTGGAAAGTACTCATGGGGAGGGGGAAAGGAGGAACCAGCTAGGTGACTGGACACTCAGGTTACCACCACAACTCCTCCCTCAACCCCTCCTTTCTGTAATATATGCATGATGTTTCTGGGGGTGGGCTTGACCTAGAGGAGGGGAATTTCAAAAGTTTTTATAAGGTCTTGCACACCATCTTTCTGGGTCTTTCCTCTCTCTTGCAAGTGAGGGGAACACCCTGTTGCAACAGTTCAATAAAGGCCAAGCCTACAGGCTGCTGTTTTGCTCCAAGTTATCCTGGTTGGTGTCTTTGTTTTGTCCAAGGGAGCCCTGGGATTTTTCCGGTAACACCACGACACCACACTGGCTTTCAGCATCAGGAGGGCTAAAGATTCCTCTCACTTGGTCTAGAGCACGTGTAGGCAAACTAAGGCCCGGGGACCTGATGCAGCCCAATGGCTTTCTCAATCCGGCCTGCGGACAGTCAGGGAACCAGCATGTTTTTACATGAGGAGAATGTGTGCTTTTATTTAAAATGCATCTCTGGGTTATTTGTGGGGCCTGCCTGGTCTTTTTACATGAGGAGAAGGTGTCCTTTTATTTAAAATGCATCTCTGGGTTATTTGTGGAGCCTGCCTGGTGTTTTTACATGAGGAGAAATTGTCCTTCTATTTAAAATGCATCTCTGGATTGTTTGTGGGGCATAGGAATTCGGTCATTTCCCGCCCCCCAAAAATATATAGTCCGGCCCCCCAGAAGGTCTGAGGGACAGTGGCTGAAAAAGGTTGCTGACCCCTGGCCTGAGGCATACAAGGGAGAGGCAGCAGAGATAATTTGCCAGGGCTAGAGTTCAAATTCAAGGGGAAAGGCCCAGGCAACTGAAGCATGATCCCTGGGCAGGGTTTGCCTCTCAGTCTTGGAGCAGAGAGAGGCTTTGGATGTAATGCGGCTCCTGCGAAGCAAAGTGTGTCTTTCCACGCAAGATAGCAATAAATAGTATTATGAGGATACCAGAGTTACTCTGTATTTTCTGGGCAGCCTTGAGTGTGGACTACAAACTGAGGAGTGAAGTAAGCTCACCCCTCAGACTGATGATGCCCAAAGGACTTTATATTTAAGGGCTGCTGTTTGGTGGTGACGCACCCCTGGGCACAACCACCCCTTCAGACACCTTGTTTCATGCTTTTCGTCCACCACGATTATATTCTATGTTAATGAGGGGGGGGGCGTCTGTGACGGAAAAGTTTGTTTACTGAGCTGGTTGAGTCTGCTAGTGCTTTTTTCCCCCTCCCTGCCTGCAAAGTTGCCTAGCAACAGCTCCTGATTGGCCAGTTCCATGGGAGGCAGTTGGAGTGAAGTGAAAGAAGGTGTGAGGGATTCATGGGGTCTGAGAGAGGGATTCTTCTTCTGACAGGGGGTAGAGCTGAGGAGAGTCGAGAGGTGACAGTATATATTCCCAAGTTCTGAATCGCAGAACACTGTTAAAATAGAAAAGACACCGTCCCACACGGTGTTTACAGGAAAAAGGGTCCTCAGAGGGAATACTCTGACAGGAAAGGGCAGTCGTGATTCTGAGGCAAAGGAGGATTTGGGGGTCTGTAAGGAAACAGTCCAGTTAAAATCCTAAATTCCTGAAGTGTGTGTGGAGAAGTCTGATCTATGGAAGATGTGTAAAAGAAAGTAACCTTAAGCCTGAACAGCATTCAGCCTACAACTTGAAACCGTACTCATTTTCATAAAAAGCAGCAGCACTGGTTGTTATATTTTGGTGGAAGAAGAAGAACCAAAACTCCTTGTTTACACCTGTTATAATAAAGTTTGTTTGCAACCTGTTTCCCAAAAGAAAAACCCACTGTCGCTCGTGATTCATTCTCTACTGGGGATTTCACCTGAGGGAAAAGGAAACAGAGGGCTGGTCTAGGGAGAGAAAGTGCCCTTGCTCTAGTGCAGTTTCCTATATTTTGAAAGCGGGTTGCCAGGTGTTTTTTCTGTTTTTTGTTTGTCTCTTAAAAAGAGAGAGAACGTTCTAGGCTTTCCCCCTCTTATTGGGGGTTTGTGCAATCATCCCGTTTGCAGTGTTAGAAATCCCCCAGGCAGGTTTTGCGACTGGCACAGGTCCAACTGTGACCATGTGAATCTTGGGTGACCCTCTAGCTATATATAATAAATTATTATTATTAATTCTACCCCGCCCATTTGGCTGGGTTCCCCCAGCCACTCTTAAGCTTTCTTAAGGAGGTATGCAAAAGAGGTGATTTATCAATGTTTTAATGTGTTGTAAACCTCTTTGAGATTTTTTCTTTAAAAAGCAGTATAGAAATGAA